TTCTCGATCACAGATCTAGAGCGCGAGCGCTCATGTCAAACTATACGTAAATATGCCGCAACGAACAGTTGGCCGCTGCGGCAAAGTGCGAGACGTTCATACGGTTTCTTCAGTAAATCTGGTCAGTGCCGTGGTCGTGGCCGTCTAGTGCGCGGGGTACTTAGTGAAACAAAAGAAAGTTCGCTAGTCTATTCCGTAACACTTCATAGCACAAATTGCGCTCATTTGTACTATGAAGATGATTGACCACTGATGTTAGTGGATTTTCTGTAATGTAAATGTAAATAAATTTTCATTCAAGTAATAGATACTGTAACGTCCGTTACGTTACAGCCTCCTTGTTTGGGTAAACTATTTGTTCATGCAATGCCTACAGCTGGCAGTTATATTAAAAAGTTCGTTGATAGATAAAATTTAATAATTATGTTCGAATGCATTGATAATTATGTTTGAAACTGAATTCAGAATTAAAATAAGAGTTAAACATATAATTAGTTTTCATTTATAACGTTACACCTCCAGGATCTACCCCTAAGAACTCCGCAATACCTACTTTATGCAGTGTTTCTTTGCTATGCTACAGTCAGTGAGGTTTTCAGATCAATGGGTCAGGTTAAGCGAAGCGTGGCAAACAATGGACGGAGGATGGATGAAAGGAGACGCGGTGAAGTCCCTCAACGGAGATCTCGCGGTTCCGCACTTAACAGCGTAGAGTATTCGCAAGGTTTTTTAGCGGAAAGTATGCCGTAAGCGCTCTTAAGCCGCGCGGACTGCTAAACGGCTTCTCTGTTTCGCACCCGTGAGACTTGCGAGAGGCTAGGTGTGAGGGCCGTTCGTTGGTGTGCTGCTTAAGGGCACCAACGTCTGTAAATAGAGGCTTTGCCTGTGTAATAAAAAAAGTTAATGGTAAGCAGCCACCATAGCCTATAGACGCTTGAGATACCAAAAAACCGATAGTGAATATGCATGTTATTATTGAAGTAAAACTTCTATAGGCACGCTTGACTTGGGGGGTAAACTGGCGAATGTGTTACGATTTTTGCGTTACGCGCGCACCGGTAAGTCATCGGTATACAATGAACAATACCCGTCAGAAAATACATGAATCTAGTGCTTGGTGGGTGATAACGGACCCAGCGCGGATTGGTGGGTGATAACGGACCCAGCGCGGATTGGTAGGTGATAATTGACCCAGTGCGGATTGGAGGGTGATAACGGACCCAGCGCGGATTAGTGGGTGACAAAGGACCCATTTTTTCTATATAAACTCTGTTACTTTTAAATTATCCCTCTGTTAATATTTTAAATCAAATTTATTTTTGAGCTGGAAATTAATACCCATTGAAAAGTGTGAATACTTGTAGAAAATTCAAATATCTGATCGCGACACAGCGATTGTGACGCAGAAATATATGACAATGGCGACTATCCACCCGCGACTCCTAAGATCTTTATTAGTTTTTGATCGGGTATAAACCGCAATCAATTGCCTTTTCCTAATTTTACTCTGTCGCAAGTCTTGCGATCAGGACGCATCAAGAACGCCAAGAAAAATGAGAAATAGACAATGAATCACACTTTCATAAATTATTTGCGTGATTAGGTAGGTATCGTTGTTTCTTAAACTCTCCGCAAACGATTCAGGTCCATTATTCACAAATCGAAAATTGCACCATTCCATCCGTAAACTCGCCAAGTTATTTAAAGCTGAAATATCAAAGCGAATTGCGTTGTTTGGGAAACTTTGCCTGAAGTTTCCTTTGCGAATTTTCGAGTCAACGAGGAATTAGAGCTGTTATTACAAACCTAACTAGGAATGTGAAATTATCAAATGACTCGTTTATAGCGCGTGATAGATCATGCATGGTCCAATGTCCTTATTTATTATTTATTTATTGCGCTATCGTACACAAACATGACAATTTATATTACATTAAAAAAGTTTATCTCTCAGAAAAATCAACTTACATGAATCACATTTAAGCGCAATTAGCGATATCTATTGTAAAGAAATCAACTTACATGAATCACATATAAGCTCACCTAGCGCCATGTATTGTAAAAAAATGCCAGCTCCATGAAATGACACACTAGAAATAACTCGCATAAATTGTATGTGCTTATTATGGCAATAATACCTAATTTGTTTCTTCAAAGAACAGAAATCTTCATTCTTCAATAAATAATTAGAAAACAATCATAAAAAGTCACGTTTGAAATGTTTATTACCAAAAATTTTGTTAATTAAAATTCAGAGAAAGCGCTTTATCGAATTTCTTAATTAATAAGTACTGCCAGGTTACGTATTTATAGTCTCAATGAGGCAATAACTTCAGTTTATAAACTCCGACTACCACGAAAAAATCGTTTCATTTTTCCTCACACACAAATAACGTGTTTTTTAGTATCGATGAATAAAAGAGTTTCAAAATCGTTTCAGTAGATTCAAAGATTACCCCCTCCAACACAATTTACAAACTATACGTCTTTATAATATTAGTATAAATGTAGAGTATGTGCGAAAAGAGAATGGGCGTGGCGAAAAACGGAACTAACATTAAGATTTTTATTTGGCAATAAAAACCCAGCAATCTGTAAAACGTCAAAGTTTTGTATTGATACGGATTTGTTTGTTGTTGTGATTTCTTGCGGTTTTTTGAATTTACTCATGTCCAAAAGGGGTAAAACCTTAAAAATACGGTAGAAAAACACTACAGCGCCCTCCAATCTAAATCTCATTCTCTTTCCGCACAGACTCTACCTAAGTATTTCTTATAAAATATTTACTATCTTACATCATATACTTTATGTTTTAAGTTAATGATTCATCAAATGTTTTATTATGTGAACATAAAAATAAGTTTTATTACAAATGCGGTCCTTGATAAAGTTTGTGTATTACGAGGGGTCCTGAAAAGGACTTTAAAATAAAGATAAAACATTAGGCGTAAAAATAAAATTGGGGGGGAGCGGGGGGGGGGGGTGAAATGAAGAATGAAATCTATTCCTTCCTAACGTCTATTCGCACGTTAGATATATTGGAATCCAATCAAATTTATCCCATGTTTGAGTGTTGAGTCACACCCTCGACCCGCTTAAATCCATTGCAAAGATCTATTAATTTGTTTGCACTATTGTGTCCACATTAATCCACACAGAGTTTTTTGCGCTGTTCAACTTGCATCTCACATTGTTTTTATCCGACTGCGCAATGCAAGAGTGCGAAGCGCTAAGCGCGGGCAGGGTATGGTGTTTAACAGTATATATGTGTATGTATGTATGTTCCTTTGTGGCATAGGAAGTTTCTGTGAATTATGTCGGTAAAACTCATTATGAGACTGGGATATGACACTGAATTTGTGTATATCACAATCTTAGAGCCGAACGTTGACAATGCAGCAACTGCCAATTTTAAATAGTCGACGAATAAAATTAAATGAATTTTATATTTACTCCTAAATTACTAAAAATAACAGAAGCAAAAGATGACTTTTAGAATAAGTACTAGTTAACATACACGCATTATTTTTTATTGAAAAAAAAATCCATTCTTGGATATCTAATGGGCCCCGACTGTTAAAAGTAGCTTTGTTCCTTACTTAACAGAATTATATACTACTGGACAAGTTTTTTTTTTCTTTTCAGTTTTTATTTGATAGTAATATTAAAGCAGACGGGTTTCCCAAATTTTTTAATTTTTCATAGAATTTCTTGTGTATCGTGAACGGTTTTTAGAAATTCTCTTGCCTCTTGTTAGCGGCCTTTATTTTACCGGACACCGAGCGGGTCATAATTATAATCAGTCGACGATCGTCAACGGCTGGACATAGGAGTAGGTATGATTTACTTGTCCTTCTCATCTATGCGTTGCAAAGAAACGCACTGTGTCCGGTAACCAACGGCACACCAAGCACGAACAAATGGTGAGAAAGTATTCGTATCGCCATCGTAAAAGTTAGGGAAAGAGCTAGTTTGAGCTAGTCCGATAGGTCCGCTGCCTAGTTTTCATTGAAACTTTGACTTTTCAGTTATTCGTCCTTGGGGTATTGAAGTCATATAATGCGTGAGGTGGTTCGACATTTACTGACTGGTTGACATCAAATCTGTTTGTTTGAAGTGACAAAATTTTTCTTTGTTACAGACATCACAAAGGCATCTGCAGTGCTTACTGATGTAGTAGATATAGCACCGGCGATAAGCGGTGACAGAATCAGCACTTATGAAGCGAAAACTATGCGCGGTACCGTCGTTCAACTGTGAAGACGACATGGAGGAGCTGAATGTGGTAAGTGTACCCTCTTTTCCCCTTAAATTAATAGTTATGGAAAGTTTTACTCCATTATAGTAATTTATGTTATTTACGGAAATGTAACCATGTATCTAAGCGTAGTGTAGGACGCCCTGAGACGAGATGGGATCATGATTTTGTAGTTTGGCTGGAGTGAGCTGGATGAGAGTAGCACAAAATCGGGAGCAGTGGCGTGCATTAGGGGAGACCAGCAGTGGACGAACATGGGTTGATGATGATGATGATGAACCATGTATCTTGATTTTCTTGGTTGAATTTTAAATTTTACGTTACGATTTGCTAACGTGTTGAAAGAGGTAGGTATGGCAGTAGGTTGAGTTGGAGAACCCCACTTCTAGAAATATTTTCTACATAAAAATACTGGCCAAATGCGTGTTGGACGCAAATGCGAAGAACCCCCCGTGCAAACAAACACCATTTAAATAAAACGCTTATAACGGTCGAACAAAAATGCAAAATATCACATTATATGTTTGAGCTTGCGCTTTGCCTTTAGTAACTTTGTTTTTATTATTAAAGCAACAGTAGATACTGATAATGTTACGCGTTTTCAATAGTCTTCTTATTATCGTTCATGAGATATGGGCCTGTTAAGAGAAAGACAGAAACTTATTACTTCAGAGGTGGTTAGACGAATTTGTTGGCACCCTTTGTCTACGAAACTATAAAAAGACTACAATACAAACTTTTACTCCTTAATGTAAACGTTTATTTTCGTGATAGACAGTACTTCATACTTCCTTGTTCTAATTAGCGGCTAAGCAATGCAACTGTAACAGATAAATGAAATAACTCCCGCATTTACATATAATATTAAGTATCTATATATATATAAAACTAAGTGACTGACTGACATAGAGGTCTATCAACGCACAGCCCAAACCACTGGACGGATCGGGCTGAAATTGCATGCAGGTAGATGTTTTGACGTAGGCATCCGTTAAGAAAGGTTTTGATTAATTCTACCCCAAAGTGAGGCGAGGGCGGGCCATTAGTTGATACATATTCCGGTATTCTTCACTAAAATACATGAAAATAGCCTTAAATATTCATTACACATTCGTATTTCTCGCGATACATCAAAAGAAATATTCTAAAATTCACCCACCCATATACTTGTCAAAATCAGGCTAATCAACCGGGAATGCATGGAGTTGGGTCCATGTTGGGTCAATATGTGACAATGATTGTCCCTTGTCATACCTTTATACCCATATACTTGATTCATCAAAGCTCTTTCAGGACGCCAGGATATGAACATAATATAAAACTGACGCGTTTGATAAGCTTTATTTCCAATTTAAGTAGAACTCTAGGAGGGGTAGTGCGTAACGGATTTTTTTCTTGAATAGGAACGCTTATCTGGGGAAGCAACATAAACCTTACAAAAAACCACATAGAAATAAAATTACCATTAAGCTTTAATGTGGTTACTTTAGTAAGTAAAGTTATAGAGCTCTAATGGATTAGCTGCTATGCATGGACTTTACATTGCTATTATTACTGTGTATGGACAAAATTATTTTACGTTTCATTAAATATGTATAACCATTATATCACAGAATAAATGAAATGAGTAATATTACAAGTCAATAGATAAGAAAATTCATTAGTATCAAAAATGTTTGTACAACATAAAAACATTTTATAATAAATTCATTATTTAATAAGAAATCAATAAAATGCCCTTTGGCTCTAATATGATTCCAACTCACCGGAGCATCAATAAGGGTCTTAAGCGAGATTGTTGAAAACGGAACATACAAGCTTGAATTAATAAAAATATAAGATGTAAAGCAATATATTATATCAACATGGTACTAGTATTCAAGAAATTGAGAAGGTTGCAGCTAATCCTTCGTAACTCAATTGAAAATTATTGTGATCATGAATTACTAACATCCTGGTGATGAATATGAGGCAAACATCTCGTAAATTTATTGATTAATGTAACATTATCATGATTCATTTTCTGGCTCTTCTGTATCTTCTTCCTCAACATCGTGTTCAGAAACAATCTGTGGCGATCGGAGTTTCTGTTTCTGAGGACTAAGAGATTCATTTTCGATTCTATCTCTGTGAATATTTATATAAAATTCAAATGGATTCAGCGCCTGCCTTCTTTCTTTACCTTCTGCCAATGTAGCGTCCCAAGAAAATGTTATTTTGTATGGATTATCTTGCACCGTCTTTTGTGCTGTACTTTTTATATATGCATAATCTTCTAAATATTCTTTCTTCAGTGCTTCTTTGTTATCCGACAATAGGCTCTTTTTCTCTATAACTTTCTTTTTTATTGCCTCCGGGAATAATATGGCGACTGTATCGTTAAAAATGTTTTTCTGATTTTTCATTATATCTAGCATTCTCCTTTCTTTCTCTAGTCGCTGAGCTTCTAGTTCACGTAAGGGTTTCTCTTGCTCAATCAACTCAGCTCTATTTATCCTTTTCTTCACGGCTATAGTTCTTTCTATAAGTTTTTGTATAATCTTTTGCCATCTTTCCTCGGGACCAACCACTTTCAACTTTTCTAATCGTCTTGCTTCAGCTTCCTCTTCTTGTTTTTTTTCTTCTTCTTCTCGTAACCTACGCTTCTCTTCTTCCTTTTCTGCTAGCAAAGCACCTTCTTTTCGTCTTATTTCAAGTAAAATTTGTGGGTTATTATTCATCCAATCCTCTTGCCATTTTATAAATGACTGCATGACTTTTAAATCTCTTGAAAACATTGACTCTAAGCGACCTTGATAATCTGGATTATGAATCATATATATTGGTGGATCTAAAAACATGCGAAAAGAGCCGTTTATATCGCTTACGCCGATTATGTTCTTGGACAGAGGTAAAGTATGTAGACTGACACCTGTAAGCATGGTACCAGATAGTGTTTGGACTGAAATTGGTTTATCACTTTTAATAAGCAAATCCCAAGTCTCAAGATCTCCTTCAGAGGTTGAAATAAAAATTACACTAGGCTTGTACAATGACCAAGCAGCATCTGTCAAACGGTAAGGTCGTTTTTTCCAAATGAGCGGTCTATCTAATAATCTATCAGTCCATATAGCGAATATTTTGCCGCCAACTGATAAAGTAATATCATTTATAAACGGATTTCTCTGTGTTGAAGTTATAATTCCATCATGTATATAACAACGAAATTTTATGTCACAATATTCAGAGTTGACAACTTCCCCTGTGTTGAATTGATGCCCTTCCCAAGTAATTCTTCTTAATTCCCCATGTTGTGAACCACAATATAAAACCATGGAAATATCACTTTCGGATTGAGAAACTACTTCACATTTAAAATACTTTCTTCCCATACCAGTATTTTTGGGTGTGTAAATGTAATTCAGAATAGGAGATATCATTGCAAATGATTGCAAACATAAAGTTTCCGGTTTTCCAGCTATTCCTAAAATTATTTTGTAACATGGTTGTAAATTTCTATCCAATATTTTTAATGGTGAAACGTCGACTGTCAGCCCTGACGGTCTTCTTGCAATCCTCTTTGATTTTTTTACTTTCTTACCCTCAAACAATGTTACACTGTCTACAGACAAATTCCATATCAAAATGTTACCATCTTCAGAACCAGAAAAAAACATTAAAGATTGCTTATCTTTTGGCATAACTGTAACTGTTCCAGTCGGTGAAACAATAAAATTTGGAGGAAACCATTTAATAGCAGTCACTGGTCCGTAATGACTAGTCATTAAATTACTTAAAACTGTAGCTTGTACAACAGCCTTATCTTGGACAATTTTCATCCAATCCATATGAGCATTCATAGCTATTCTATATCTTTCTCTGGTCTCGCTAAGTACTTCCACCTTTTCTACGTTTTCCAGCTTATTGGTCAAGTCCCAAATAACTATTTGACCATTTATACAGCCGCCAACTAAAATATTTTCATTAAATGGACAAAAAGACAAGGTTTTGACCTCACGGGGCGATTCCAAGTACAATTTTGGTAATAAACTATCTATGTGACTCCAAATCATTACAGGATTCAAGCCATATACAGCTCTTTGTATTGGGTCAGGCCTAGTTCCCAGGGTTCTCATAACTGTGGGAGAGCCGTCTGAATAACATATAGCTACAATACCAGACCACATAGGGTGAAAGGCGGCACAAGCCACGTACTTTTCTTTAGCTCTTACATCTGTAAAACAAACATATTCGTCAAATGCCATCGTATCATAAATATCTACAAATTTTTCTGCGATTAAATTCGGGTAATCATTGCAATACATATCCATTACGGTATTTAGTTCAATAATAGAGCGCACTTCTTCAGACTTTGATGACATAAACCCATTTATCATTTTAATGTATGATGGCCGTCGCATTCGCCGTAACGCAGCACGGTAAGCTTGCAGACCCACTTCATCAACTTTTTCTTTTTCGGCTTCCTCCTCATCTGAACTTTCTTCTACTCTTTCATCAGCACCCATCTGTGCGGCTCCATCTCCTCCGCCTTCTAAGTCATCCATCTTACCCATAGCATCAGCAATCGATTGAGTCCATTTATTTTGAGGATATCTTAACACAGTTTGTGCTTCTGTATTTATCATTGGAGGAGCAATTTGAGATGCACAGTCAACTCGTCTGCGGTATACATTATTAAATTTCTGTCTAAAAGGTGTCAATTCTATATAACCGTCGCGTACAGAATTCGAATCTCTGACTTGAAACTTTTTTGGCTGATACTCTGTTGGAAATTTTGCTCTTATTTCCATTTCCATCAAAGGTCTTGTATTAAATGGTTTCAGTTCTATTATTTCCTTATCGCTCCCTAAACTTTTCCACGGTCTCGGTTTTTTCTGTACTGCCTTTTCTAACTTCTTTTCTTGCCTTCTTATAAATCTCTCAGACTGCTGTTTGCAATGGTCTCGGGCTTCAATAGTACAACATATATAAAATTCATCTGTATCTTTTGATTCATCTACAATGTATCCTAATAGCATCATTTCTTCAGTATAAGCTTCAATATGTTCTTTGATGGGATAAAATTCAGAAAGTTCTCCACCAACCTCTATGCTTTCCATAATTTTTGCCTTGCTGACAGACTTCCACGGATATTGGGCATTAACGTGCATACCGATTACCATTTCTATTTGTAATTGTGTTTCCTCTCCTAATAAAACTTTATATACGCCATCTACTTCATATTTTGGAACGAAGCGCTTCCTACGTGGCTGTGGTTGTTGAGTAGCCATTTGTTCAGGTATAACTGAAATAAATCAATAATTATCTTAATATATATAAAATACGCGTCACGTTATTTGTCCGGGATGGACTCTTAAACTAGCAAACCGATTTTAATCAAATTTGCACAGTTTGAATCAAATTGAAAGGTAGCTTACATCTCAATTTATAGTCTTAATATTATTTTATTGCAAATTATTACTTTTGGGCGGTAGGAAGTTCGCCAAGTTAGCTAATTTACTATATTTTGCAGAAATATTTTTTTTTATATTTAAGATAAACACAATAAATTATTATGACAATAATAATCAGATGACATTATATGACAATCAATATCCAGTTGAAATCAAAGAGCATGTCGAAATAGTTTTCTGTCTGCGATCATTTGAAAAAGGAGAATTTATGTGTGCTATATTTATTTATGTTCTCGTATTATTCATATGGTATAATTAAGTCTGTGCGGAAAGAGAATGGGCATGGTGAAAAACGGAACTAACATTAAGATTTTTATTTGGCAATCAAACCCAGCAATCTGTAAAACGTCAAAGTTTTTTATTGATACGGATTTATTTGTTGTTGTGATTTCTTGCGGTTTTTTGTATTTAATCATGTTTAAAATTGGTAAAACCTTACAAATACGGTAAAAAAGTACTACAGCGCCCTCCAATCTAAATCCCATTCTCTTTCCGCATAGACTCTACCTACTTATTTTTTAACTAATATGAAAAAGTTTAAACTCATAATCATTAAACTGAGGTTAATATTAGAGTTTAAATGAATTATTCTTACTAATTTAAGTTTAACACGCATTACTTTTGAAACAAAATTGCAGATTTAATTACAATGACGATGTCATTCAAGTACTTAATTCAACATTATGACATATACAGCGGTTTCAATAACAATAAACACTTAATTTTTCACATACAAAAGGATATTGGTACAACGGACACTTGTTACAATAATGTGGGCAAAGGCCATCTTACTGTTAAAAGCGATCTCTTCCAGACAACCTTCGTAGGATAGGTAAGCTTAACGTAAAAGAAGATGTAGTATGCCAGCAGAATCGATGAAAAATGTAAATATTACTAATTCTAATGCCTATGTTTAAAGACGAACCTAAAGGTTGATATACGTAGATAGTTCATAGTTGTTTGCGCTTTTTAAAAACAATGTTGTACGTCGTTGCGCTCATCTCAGAAAAATTAGTAAAGTGGTTATGCGAAAGAGCTATACTAACCCCAAAGTCCTTCTACCTTACACCTTCTGTTTGATATTAGGTATCTGACTTGCAATGACAAATTCACAACAAAGTTTAATTTGAGGTATATAGGTATACATTGAAATTGTATCAAAAAGTAGTAAAAGTTTGTGATATCGATTACCAGTTGCGTTATATTCAAATTGTTAAAAAAACTCTACTGAATGATTTACCTACTGCATCGTCAGTGCTTACCACAGTATTTCCGATCCGATTCCGGACCTACTCGTAATTTACAATCGTTGATTGGTCCTTATCATACCTTTTACTGTTACTGTAGGCACAGATACTTTTACTAGGGCTATTTTAATGCTTTTATCTTATCGGCACGTTCCTCTTGGACCTATCGCAAAAGTATGTTGTAAGTCTTCGATCCTTATTTTTGCCAAAATCAAAAGAATTTCAACAGTTTTGCCGGTTCCTAAAATGTATACTTTTTTGTTTATCTGTTAACGAAGCACCGTATTTATTACTACTCATACTGACAAAGTTTCCTACCAACTACCTTCAAACCTATTACATCGTTAAGTAATCTTTTTACCGGCTATAGAACCCCCATCCTTTTTTTATGTCTGGGAAATGCCTTACGCATCCTTCAACCACAGGGGAAGGGAGAAGAAGGTATCTGGGATTTAGAGTACTTCCACCCTAGACAATCATTTTAGGTTTTTCATAATACTTCTGTAAGTTTCTCTGTTCTATTTTTTTTTCTTAGGTTTTCACGCACATCACTCATTAAATAAAACTAATTTTAACGGGTTATTGTACAAAACTTTATTTATTTATTGACGTTTTGCAGCCTTTTTAGGTCTGCGTCGTCAGAATAATGATTTTTTATTTAATTTTGCCGAGTTACCTTCGAAAGACTTTTATTGAGCGTTCGGTTCTTCCAATGAAATAACCGAATGCTCAATAAAAGTCTTTCGAAGGTAACTTGACAAAATTGCTCTGAAACCGATCTGAGCTGCGTCAGGATTTAGGTATATTTTTACAATATAACTGGATCTTGAATTGCACTCTTCCAATGAAATAACCGAACGCTCAATAAAAGTCTTTCGAAGGTAGCTCGACAAAATTGCTCTGAAACCGATCTGAGCTGCGTCAGGATTTAGGTATATTTTTACAATATAACTGGATCTTGAATTGCACTCTTCCAATGAAATAACCGAATTCTCAATAAAAGTCTTTCGAAGGTAGCTCGACAAAATTGCTCTGAAACCGATCTGAGGCGCGTCAGGATTTAAGTATATTTTTACAATATAACTGGAATTTGAATTGCACTCATTGTATTGCGCAGGACGCTGTCGCTTTTTTATTTTTATAATAACCCCGAATATAGCACGTTATTTATGTTTTCAAATATAAATCCACTAACTTAATCTGTTTCTTAGGCGCACACGCACATCACTCAATAAATAAAACTTTATTTATTTATTAAAGTTTCGCATCCTTTGCAGGAATGATTTTATCAATCTAATTAATATATAAAATTCTCGTGTCACAATGTTAGTTACCATACTCCTCCGAAACGGCCTGACCTATTTTTATGAAATTTTATATGCATATTCCGTGGGTATGGGAATCGGCTACTATCTATTTTTCATATCCTTAAGTGATAATGGTTGTCCACCAGTAACGTAGCGTTCTGAAACCTACAATGCGCCTTCGCGCCAAAATTCAAACTATTGGGTATTGTAACGTAATGTTTTCATATGGGTTAGGAGGAATGCTATCCCAGGAAATTGAAAGAACACTAGGTTACACTCTCCTAAATTTTTTTGGACAATATTTATTTTCTTATAATGTGGTATTAAAAATACGTGCAGCCCTAAATTTTCTCTTCTACCACCTGCCCCTTAGTGGTGGTACGAAGTTCGCTGGGTCAGCTAGTAAATAAATAAAATCAGTGCATCTTATCCGTTGAAACTTGTTTTATTTTACTAACTTTATAATAAATAAATAGTAAGCAGATTAATGATAAAGCAGATTTAGTAAAAAATTCTGCCTGAATCATTATATAAGTCTACGCTGACGAAGTCGCAAGCAAGTGATAGTCAATTTATAAGTGTTACCAGTCGATCACATTTCAATCAAGCCTTCTCGACGATAGTATTTAATAACGTTGAGTCTTCTAAATAAAAATAAGCTCTTTTAAGCTTCATTACTATAACGTGCTCTAATGTTTCTTGGAACGTTACCACTGAACGTATCAATTCGATGTTCCGGGACATTTTAGTGTCGTGTCTAGTACTACAATAAAATCATTATCCAATTGTTTATGTTATATCTATTTCAAAGAAACCAATTATTAGTTCATTTCCGTGGGCACTTGGAATATAAGTACCAATTTGAAATTTCCCTTACAGTTATGAATATATATGAATGAAAATCGCACTAAATACTAGTCTAACTAGACTTGAAATTTTTAGAACCCACTCGGATTCACGCAGAATTTCTTATCAAACTCGGTCCAGCCCCGAGTTCAATAACATTAAGATATTAAATAAAAACAACTTACCCTCTTCAGATTCATCATTAGAGATTTCATCCTCACTCGAGTACCTGTCAACATTTTTCTCCTTGTTAGTTTCATCATCTTCACCAATATCGTCATAATCAACGCTGTCTAAAGGCCTTAGCATTTTAATAATAACTTAACTCATAACACACCTAAATTATTTGGAAATCGAACTTAGTTAAGGTTTTGGTAACCTAGCTACAGTTTATCATAGCAACACGCATGCGCTTTAGAATACCTGACAACCGGTTCAGTGCCCATTGAAGAGCTCGATGGTAGAAGTGTTGAGGGCGTTCAGCTGCGACCGTTGAAGTTAAGCAACTTTCGCAGTGGTAAGTCATTGGATGGGTGATCAAAAATTTACTATCTCGAGCTTCTCCATATTTCGGAAGGCACATCATGCCGTGGGCCTGACTGCATCTGCAGTCGTTGTCACCCAATCCGCACTGCACCCGCGTGGTGGGTCATAACCCAATCTCCCTATTCCGTTAAATAGGGAAGGCCTGTACCCCAGCAGCGACGATATTAATGATATGTATGTATGTACACTTTAATATATTTTTATTTAAAACACAATAGTGTAACCTATTTCTTCTATTGATGTTACTGGTGTATAACAGCTCCGCATAGTAATTTTAAAATTCCCTGTGAGTACAGTATTGCATACAACACATTATGCTTTTATTAGTTTCTTGTAAAATTTAAGAACCTGTGTCATGACATTATGTACACTGCATAGGTATTCTGTAAAATGCAATCTAACATAAGATCTTATTTATAAGGAATTGGCGAGTGCTATCGACTGCAGATGAAGCCGGGACCAACGGCTTATGGTAGCCATACACACTACGAGAAATCGTTACGATTAGACTGTACAGTCCGAACGGTACCGATAAATCGTAGCGTGTATGTTATAAAACTGCACAGTTTCCTATAAACTGTTCCGTTCGAACTGTACAGTCTGATCGTAACGATTTCTCGTAGTGTGTATGGCCGGTATTAACGTGCCTTCCGAAGCACGGTGGAACTCGAGATAGAAGAATTTTGGTCACTCATCCATTGACCGACCACTGCGAAAGTTGCTTAACTTCAACGACCGCAGCCGAAAGCGCTAACCACCTGCGCCATCGAGCTCCTTGATGAGAGAGATGATAAGAAATTTTAATGCTATAGTACTATAATAAGTGGTATTGATAATAAAACAAGGAGTAACAAAAAACGACGGGTTGCACTCCGGGAGTGCCGGCAGAAGTGAAAACTTGAATATTAACGTTGTGCATTTTTGATATTTTGGAATGGTTAGGGAATAATTTTGCACGAATTGCTTTAATCATCAGTATAAAAGTACTATCATGTATGTGGTAGAATACAATATTTATTTATTGTGCTATCCTACACAAATATAACAATTTAGATTACATTAAAGAAGTTTATCTCTCAGAAAAATCAACTTACATGAATCACATTTAAGAGCACCAAGCGACATCTATTGTAAAAAAATCATTTTCTTCGCAATAAAGCTGCCACTTGGACGTCCTAGATAGAGACTTATTATTATAATATGGTAAAATAAAATATTACTATGTTTCGTCCAATATATTGAAAGTCAACAACCTTTCCAATTTTATTGTGTGTCATGATGCGATCAGCCCACGTGTTTAACCTGAAGCGAGTTTAACATTTTTTACTCATACAAAAAAAGCGTACAACGCCGCTAAAGAAGTTTTCACTTCAAAAATACACAGTACTGAAATCATTTGTGCATGTTTACTCCAATGAAGGGCAATAAAACATTTTTTTCTTCTTCATCGAATTCTGTCTCAGAACTACTCTATTTCGACGAAAAACAAAAGTTCGATCGAA